TCTGTGTGGTGATGAGTCTATGGGTATCTGTGTGGTGGTGAATCTATGGGTCTCTGTGTGGTGGTGAGTCTATGGGTCTCTGTGTGGTGGTGAGTCTATGGGTCTCTGTGTGGTGGTGAGTCTATGGGTACCTGTGTGGTGATGAGTCTATGGGTCTCTGTGTGGTGGTGAGTCTATGGGTCTCTGTGTGGTGGTGAGTCTATGGGTCTCTGTGTGGTGGTGAGTCTATGGGTCTCTGTGTGGTGATGAGTCTATGGGTCTCTGTGTGGTGATGAGTCTATGGGTCTCTGTGTGGTGATGAGTCTATGGGTCTCTGTGTGGTGGTGAGTCTATGGGTCTCTGTGTGGTGGTTAGTCTATGGGTCTCTGTGTGGTGATGAGTCTGAGTCTCTGTGTGGTGATGAGTCTATGGGTCTCTGTGTGGTGGTGAGTCTATGGGTCTCTGTGTGGTGGTGAGTCTATGGGTCTCTGTGTGGTGATGATTCTATGGGTCTCTGTGTGGTGGTGAGTCTATGGGGACTCTGTGTGGTGAGTCTGTGGGTCTCTGTGTGGTGGTGAGTCTATGGGTCTCTGTGGTGGTGAGTCTATGGGTCTCTGGGTGGTGGTGAGTCTATGGGTCTTTGTGTGGTGATGAGTCTATGGGTCTCTGTGTGGTGATGAGTCTATGGGTCTCTGTGTGGTGATGATTCTATGGGTCTCTGTGTGTGGTGAGTCTATAGGTCTCTGTGTGGTGATTAGTCTATGGGTCTCTGTGTGGTGAGTCTATGGGTCTCTGTGTGGTGGTGAGTCTATGGGTCTCTGTGTGGTGGTGAGTCTATGGGTCTCTGTGTGATGAGGAGTCTATGGGTCTCTGTGTGGTGAGTCTATAGGTCTCTGTGTGGTGGTGAGTCTATGGGTCTCTGTGTGGTGGTGAGTCTATGGGTCTCTGTGTGGTGAGTCTATGGGTCTCTGTGTGGTGATGAGTCTATGGGTCTCTGTGTGGTGAGTCTATGGGTCTCTGTGTGGTGATGAGTCTATGGGTCTCTGTGTGGTGGTGAGTCTATGGGTCTCTGTGTGGTGATGAGTCTATGGGTCTCTGTGTGGTAAGTCTATGGGTCTCTGTGTGCTGGTGAGTCTATGGGCCTCTGTGTGGTGAGTCTATGGGTCTCTGTGTGGTGGTGAGTCTTTGGGTCTCTGTGTGGTGGTGAGTCTATGGGTCTCTGTGTGGTGGTGAGTCTATGGGTCTCTGTGTGGTGATGAGTCTATGGGTCTCTGTGTGGTGATGAGTCTATGGGTCTCTGTGTGGTGGTGAGTCTATAGGTCTCTGTGTGGTGGTGAGGCTATGGGTCTCTGTGTGGTCGTGAGTCTATGGGTCTCTGTGTGGTGGTGAGTCTATGGGTCTCTGTGTGGTGGTGAGTCTATGGGTCTCTGTGTGGTGGTGAGTCTATGGGTCTCCGTGTGGTGATGAGTCTATGGGTCTCTGTGTGGTGGTGAGTCTATGGGTCTCTGTGTGGTGGTGAGGCTATGGGTCTCTGTGTGGCGGTGAGTCTATGGGTCTCTGTGTGGTGGTGAGTCTGTGGGTCTCTGTGTGGTGATGAGTCTATGGGTCTCTGTGTGGTGATGAGTCTATGGGTATCTGTGTGGTGATGAGTCTATGGGTCTCTGTGTGGTGGTGAGTCTATGGGTCTCTGTGTGGTGGTGAGTCTATGGGTATCTGTGTGGTGATGAGTTTATGGGTCTCTGTGTGGTGATGAGTCTATGGGTCTCTGTGTGGTGATGAGTCTATGGGTCTCTGTGTGGTGGTGAGTCTATGGGTCTCTGTGTGGTGGTGAGTCTATGGGTCTCTGTGTGGTGGTGAGTCTATGGGTCTCTGTGTGGTGATGAGTCTATGAGTCTCTGTGTGTGGTGAGTCTATGGGTCTCTGTGTGGTGATGAGTCTATGGGTCTCTGTGTGGTGGTGAGTCTATGGGTCTCTGTGTGGTGAGTCTGTGGGTCTCTGTGTGGTGGTGAGTCTATGCGTCTCTGCGGTGGTGAGTCTATGGGTCTCTGGGTGGTGGTGAGTCTATGGGTCTCTGTGTGGTGATGAGTCTATGGGTCTCTGTGTGGTGGTGAGTCTATGGGTCTCTGTGTGGTGGTGAGTCTATGGGTCTCTGTGTGGTGGTGAGTCTATGGGTCTCTGTGTGGTGGTGAGTCTATGGGTCTCTGTGTGGTAAGTCTATGGGTCTCTGTGTGCTGGTGAGTCTATGGGCCTCTGTGTGGTGAGTCTATGGGTCTCTGTGTGGTGATGAGTCTATGGGTCTCTGTGTGGTGGTGAGTCTATGGGTCTCTGTGTGGTGGTGATGAGTCTATGGTCTCTGTGTGGTGGTGATGAGTCTTTGGGTCTCTGTGTGGTGGTGAGTCTATGGGTCTCTGTGTGGTGGTGAGTCTATGGGTCTCTGTGTGGTGGTGAGTCTATGGGTCTCTGTGTGGTGGTGAGTCTATGGGTCTCTGTGTGGTGGTGAGTCTATGGGTCTCTGTGTGGTGGTGAGTCTATGGGTCTCTGTGTGGTGGTGAGTCTATGGGTCTCTGTGTGGTGATGAGTCTATGGGTCTCTGTGTGGTGATGAGTCTATGGGTCTCTGTGTGGTGGTGAGTCTATAGGTCTCTGTGTGGTGGTGAGGCTATGGGTCTCTGTGTGGTCGTGAGTCTATGGGTCTCTGTGTGGTGGTGAGTCTATGGGTCTCTGTGTGGTGGTGAGTCTATGGGTCTCTGTGTGGTGGTGAGTCTATGGGTCTCCGTGTGGTGATGAGTCTATGGGTCTCTGTGTGGTGGTGAGTCTATGGGTCTCTGTGTGGCGGTGAGTCTATGGGTCTCTGTGTGGTGGTGAGTCTGTGGGTCTCTGTGTGGTGATGAGTCTATGGGTCTCTGTGTGGTGGTGAGTCTATAGGTCTCTGTGTGGTGGTGAGTCTATGGGTCTGTGTGTGGTGGTGAGTCTATGGGTCTCTGTGTGGTGATGAGTCTATGGGTCTCCGTGTGGTGATGAGTCTATGGGTCTCTGTGTGATGATGAGTCTATGGGTCTCTGTGTGGTGATGAGTCTATGGGTCTCCGTGTGGTGATGAGTCTATGGGTCTCCGTGTGGTGGTGAGTCTATGGGTCTCTGTGTGATGATGAGTCTATGGGTCTCTGTGTGGTGATGAGTCTATGGGTCTCCGTGTGGTGATGAGTCTATGGGTCTCTGTGTGGTGATGATTCTATGGGTATCTGCGTGGTGGTGAGTCTATGGGTCTCTGCGTTTGAGGATCAGTGGCGACTATTTGAACCGGTCCTGGGCCTCCCCTAGGTCGACTCAGCCCCAACTGAGAGTAGCTGCTGTAGCGGTGCTGTAGTGAACATCGCTAGCACTGGTGGAGAGACAAAGGCGGCCGGGCGTGGTGGTGCTGGCCACCCACCCCCTCCGTGTGTGTAGCCACAGTGCCGGTAGCCTTCATAGGTGCAGCACTTGCCCCTACAGCCTGCTAGAGGCTACCTGGGGGAGCTTTGTCTGTGTGTGTCTAGCACTGCACTTGCCCCTACAGCCCTGCTAGAGGCTACCTGGGGGAGCTTTGTCGGTGTGTCTAACACTGCACTTGCCCCTACAGCCCTGCTAGAGGCTACCTGGGGGAGCTTTGTCTGTGTGTGTCTAACACTGCACTTGCCCGTACAGCCCTGCTAGAGGCTACCTGGGGGAGCTTTGTCTGTGTGTGTCTAACACAGCACTTGCCCCTACAGCCCTGCTAGAGGCTACCTGGGGGAGCTTTGTCTGTGTGTGTCTAACACAACACTTGCCCCTACAGCCCTGCTAGAGGCTACCTGGGGAAGCTTTGTCTGTGTGTGTCTAACACAGCACTTGCCCCTACAGCCCTGCTAGAGGCTACCTGGGGGAGCTTTGTGTGTGTCTAACACTGCACTTGCCCCTACAGCCCTGCTAGAGGCTACCCGGGGGAGCTTTGTCTGTGTGTGCCTAACACTGCACTTGCCCCTACAGCCCTGCTAGAGGCTACCTGGGGGAGCTTTGTCTCTGTGTGTCTAACACTGCACTTGCCCCTACAGCCCTGCTAGAGGCTACCCGGGGGAGCTTTGTCTGTGTGTGTCTAACACGGCACTTGCCCCTACAGCCCTGCTAGAGGCTACCTGGGGGAGCTTTGTCTGTGTGTGCCTAACACTGCACTTGCCCCTACAGCCCTGCTAGAGGCTACCTGGGGTAGCTTTGTCTGCGTCTATGGATCTGAAGGTTTTTTCCCCCCTCTCGTCTGGCAACAGCTTCCAGCGGCTCCTCCATCCTCCCCTTCCTACTTCATGAGCTGCACCATCACCACCAGCTCCACCACCAGCTCCACCACCACCAGCTCCACCACCACCAGCTCCACCATCTTCCACTCCCATCCATGTTGACTCGCTAAGTGGCCAGTTCGCGTGTCCTGGGAGTCTCCCTCCGTCTGTCTCAGTGTCTCTGTGCGTGTGTCTCTGTGTGTGTCTCTCAGTGTCTCTGTGTGTGTCTCTCTCTCTGTGTGTGTCTCTCTCTGTGTGTGTCTCTGTGCGTGTGTCTCTGTGTGTGTCTCTCAGTGTCTCTGTGTGTGTCTCTCTCTCTGTGTCTCTCTGTGCGTGTGTCTCTGTGTGTGTCTCTGTGTGTGTCTCTGTGTGTGTGTCTCTCTGTGTGTGTCTCTGTGTGTTTCTGTGTATCTCCATCTGTGTGTCTCTCTGTGTGTGTCTCTCTGTGTGTGTCTCTCTGTGTGTGTCTCTGTGTGTTTCTGTGTATCTCCATCTGTGTGTCTCTCTGTGTGTGTGTCTCTGTGCGTGTGTCTCTGTGTGTGTCTCTCTGTGCGTGTGTCTCTGTGTGTGTCTCTGTGTGTCTCCATCTGTGTGTCTCTCTGTGTGTCTCCATCTGTGTGTGTGTCTCTCTCTTTGTCTCTGTCTCTCTCTCTCTCTCTGTGTCTCTGTGTGTGTCTGTGTGTGTCTCTGTCTCTCTCTCTCTGTGTCTCCATCTGTGTGTCTCTGTGTCTGTCTCTGTGTGTGTCTCTGTCTCTCTCTGTATCTGTGTGTCTCTGTCTCTCTCTCTGTCTCTGTGTGTCTCTGTCTCTCTCTGTCTCTCTCTCTCTGTCTCCATCTGCAAGGCGATGCAGAAATACGAGAAGCTGGAAAAGATTGGAGAAGGTGAGGAGTGGTGGTGGTGAGTAGTGGTGAGGAGTGGTGGTGGTGGTGAGTGGTGTTGAGATGTTGACTACCTCGCTTGGTACACAGGAGGTCGTGGGTTCGATCCCAGACCCTGACGATGCCTGCTGCTGCTGTAGATGTTGGAGTCTGCGTCTCTGTCCCTGTGTCTCTGTGTCTGTCACTGTGTCTCTGTGTCTCTGTCTGTCTCTGTGTCTGTGTCTCTGTGTCTCTCTCTGTGTCTCTGTATCTCTCTCTGTGTCTCTGTCTCTCTGTGTCTCTGTGTCTCTGTCTCTGTGTGTCTCTCTCTGTGTCTCTCTCTGTGTGTCTCTCTCTGTGTCTCTGTGTCTCTCTCTGTCTCTCTCTCTGTGTCTCTGTCTCTCTCTCTCTCTGTGCCTCTGTCTCTCCCCGTGTCTCTCTTTGTGTCTCTGTCTCTCTCTGTGTCTCTGTCTCTCTGTGTCTCTGTCTCTCTGTGTCTCTGTGTGTCTCCGTCTCTCTGTGTCTCTGTCTCTGTGTCTCTGTCTCTTTGTCTCTGTCTCTCTGTGTCTCCGTCTCTCTGTGTCTCTGTCTCTCTGTGTCTCTGTCTCTCTGTGTCTCTCTCTGTGTCTCTCTCTGTGTCTCTGTCTCTCTGTGTGTATCTCTGTGTGTATCTGTGTCTCTCTCTGTCTCTGTCTCTCTCTGTGTGTCTCTCTTTGTGTCTCTGTCTCTCTGTGTCTCTGTCTCTGTGTGTCTCTCTCTGTGTCTCTGTCTCTCTCTCTGTGTCTCTCTCTGTGTCTCTGTCTCTCTCTGTGTGTCTCTCTTTGTGTCTCTGTCTCTCTGTGTCTCTCTCTCTGTGTCTCTCTCTCTGTGTCTCTCTCTCTCTCTGTGCCTCTGTCTCTCTGTGTGTATCTCTGTGTGTATCTGTGTCTCTCTCTGTCTCTGTGTCTCTCTTTGTGTCTCTGTCTCTCTGTGTCTCTCTTTGTGTCTCTGTCTCTCTGTGTCTCTGTCTCTGTGTGTCTCTCTGTCTCTCTCTATGTGTCTCTGTCTCTCTCTCTGTGTCTCTGTCTCTCCCCGTGTCTCTCCCCGTGGTGGGGAATGTGTGGATTCTGTCTTCGGGCCCCAGCTGTTTCATCCCCGCCACGTTTAGAATCAAAATCAGCACGAGTTGAGGTTTTTTTTGCCTGAGGCTCTCACTGCGTGTGGGTCTCTATGGGTGTCTGTGTGGGTCTCTGTGGGTCTCTGTGTGGGTCTCTGTGGGTCTCTGTGTGGGTCTCTGTGTGGGTCTCTATGGGTCTCTGTGTGGGTCTCTGTGGGGGTCTCTGTGTGGGTCTGTGTGGGTCTCTGTGTGGGTCTCTGTGTGGGTCTGTGTGGGTCTCTGTGTGGGTCTCTATGGGTCTCTGTGGGTCTCTGTGTGGGTCTGTGTGGGTCTCTGTGTGGGTCTCTGTGTGGGTCTCTGTGGGTCCCTGTGTGGGTCTCTGTGTGGGTCTCTGTGTGGGTCTCTGTGTGGGTCTCTGTGTGGGTCTGTGTGGGTCTCTATGGGTCTCTGTGTGGGTCTCTGTGGGTCTCTGTGGGTCTGTGTGGGTCTGTGTGGGTCTCTGTGGGTCTCTGTGGGTCTCTGTGTGGGTCTGTGTGGGTCTCTGTGGGTCTCTGTGAGTCTGTGTGTGGGTCTGTGTGGGTCTCTGTGAGTCTCTGTGGGTCTGTGTGTGGGTCTGTGTGGGTCTCTGTGGGTCTCTGTGGGTCTGTGTGTGGGTCTCTATGGGACTCTATGGGTCTCTGTGGGTCTCTGTGGGTCTGTGTGGGTCTGTGTGGGTCTCTACGGGTCTGTGTGGGTCTGTGTGGGTCTCTGTGTGGGTCTCTGTGGGTCTCTGTGGGTCTCTGTGTGGGTCTCTGTGTGGGTCTCTGTGGGTCTCTGTGTGGGTCTCTGTGTGGGTCTCTATGGGTCTCTATGGGTGTCTGTGGATCTGTGTGGGTCTTTATGGGTCTCTGTGGGTCTGTGTGGGTCTCTGTGTGGGTCTCTATGGGTCTCTGTGTGGGTCTGTGTGGGTCTCTATGGGTCTCTGTGTGGGTCTCTGTGTGGGTCTCTGTGGATCTCTGTGTGGGTCTGTGTGGGTCTCTGTGTGGGTCTCTGTGGGTCTCTGTGGGTCTCTGTGGATCTGTGTGGGTCTCTGTGGGTCTGTGTGGGTCTTTGTGGGTCTGTGTGGGTCTGTGTGGGTCTCTGTGTGGATCTCTATGGGTCTCTGTGGGTCTCTGTGGGTCTCTGTGTGGGTCTCTGTGGGTCTCTGTGTGGGTCTCTGTGGGTCTCTGTGGGTCTCTGTGTGGGTCTCTGTGTGGGTCTCTATGGGTCTCTGTGTGGGTCTGTGTGGGTCTCTGTGTGGGTCTCTGTGTGGGTCTCTGTGTGGGTCTGTGTGGGTCTGTGTGGGTCTGTGTGGGTCTCTGTGTGGGTCTCTGTGTGGGTCTCTGTGTGGGTCTGTGTGGGTCTCTGTGGGTCTCTGTGGGTCTCTGTGGGTCTCTGTGTGGGTCTCTATGGGTCTGTGTGGGTCTCTGTGGGTCTGTGTGTGGGTCTGTGTGGGTCTCTGTGTGGGTCTCTATGGGTCTCTGTGTGGGTCTCTGTGTGGGTCTGTGTGGGTCTCTGTGTGGGTCTGTGTGGGTCTCTGTGTGGGTCTGTGTGGGTCTCTGTGGGTGTCTGTGGGTCTCTATGGGCCTCTGTGGGTCTCTATGGGCCTCTGTGGGTGTCTGTGGATCTGTGTGGGTCTCTGTGGGTCTGTGTGAGTCTTTGTGGGTCTCTGTGGGTCTGTGTGGGTCTCTGTGTGGGTCTCTGTGTGGGTCTCTGTGTGGGTCTCTATGGGTCTCTGTGTGGGTCTCTGTGTGGGTCTCTGTGTGGGTCTCTGTGAGTCTCTGTGGGTCTCTGTGGGTCTCTGTGGGTCTCTGTGTGGGTCTCTGTGGGTCTCTATGGGTCTGTGTGGGTCTCTGTGGGTCTCTGTGTGGGTCTCTGTGGGTCTCTGTGTGGGTCTCTGTGGGTCTCTGTGTGGGTCTCTGTGGGTCTCTGTGTGGGTCTCTATGGGTCTCTGTGGGTCTCTATGGGTCTCTGTGGATCTGTGTGGGTCTCTATGGGTCTCTATGGGTCTGTGTGGGTCTGTGTGGATCTCTGTGGGTCTCTGTGGGTCTCTGTGTGGGTCTGTGTGGGTCTCTATGGATCTGTGTGGATCTGTGTGGGTCTCTGTGGATCTGTGTGGGTCTCTGTGGGTCTCTGTGGGTCTCTGTGTGGGTCTCTGTGGGTCTCTGTGGGTCTCTGTGTGGGTCTCCGTGGATCTCTGTGGGTCTGTCTGTGGGTCTCTATGGGTATTAGAGACCCACAGATAGTTTTTTCGATTTAAAGCTTTCGTGACTGCAAGGATTCATCTTCTTTGGTTCTTTCGGTAAAGTCACGTAGAATGAGAATAAATTGATAAAATAAAATAACGCAATAATATTCTCACCAATTTATTTATTATTTCATTCTCATTCTACGTGACTTTACCAAAAGAACCAAAGAAGACCCACAGATAGACTCACCACACAGAGACCCATAGACTCATCACCATACAGAGACCCATAGACTCATCACCACACAGAGACCCATAGACTCACCACCACACAGAGACCCATAGACTCACCACCACACAGAGACCCATAGACTCACCACCACACAGAGACCCATAGACTCATCACACACAGACCCATAGACTCACCACACAGAGACCCATAGACTCACCACCACACAGAGACCCATAGACTCACCACCACACAGAGACCCATAGACTCACCACCACACAGAGACCCATAGATTCACCACCACACAGAGACCCATAGACTCACCACCACACAGAGACCCATAGACTCACCACCACACAGAGACCCATAGACTCACCACCACACAGAGACCCATAGACTCACCACCACACAGAGACACATAGACTCACGACCACACAGAGACCCATAGACTCACCACCACACAGAAACCCATAGACTCACCACCACACAGAGACCCATAGACTCACCACCACACAGAGACCCATAGACTCACCACCACACAGAGACCCATAGACTCACCACCACACAGAGACCCATAGACTCACCACCACACAGAGACCCATAGACTCACCACCACACAGAGACCCATAGACTCACCACCACACAGAGACCCATAGACTCACCACCACACAGAGACCCATAGACTCACCACCACACAGAGACCCATAGACTCACCACCACACAGAGACCCATAGACTCACCACCACACAGAGACCCATAGACTCACCACCACACAGAGACCCATAGACTCACGACCACACAGAGACCCATAGACTCACCACCACACAGACCCATAGACTCACCACCACACAGAGACCCATAGACTCACCACCACACAGAGACCCATAGACTCACCACCACACAGAGACCCATAGACTCACCACCACACAGAGACCCATAGACTCACCACCACACAGAGACCCATAGACTCACCACCACACAGAGACCCATAGACTCACCACCACACAGAGACCCATAGACTCACCACCACACAGAGACCCATAGACGTACCACCACACAGAGACCCATAGACTCATCACCACACAGAGACCCATAGACTCACCACCACACAGAGACCCATAGACTCATCACCACACAGAGACCCATAGACTCACCACCACACAGAGACCCATAGACTCACCACCACAGAGACCCATAGACTCACGACCACACAGAGACCCATAGACTCACCACCACACAGAGACCCATAGACTCACCACCACACAGAGACCCATAGACTCACCACCACACAGAGACCCATAGACTCATCACCACACAGAGACCCATAGACTCATCACACAGAGACCCATAGACTCACCACCACACAGAGACCCATAGACTCACCACCACACAGAGACCCATAGACTCATCACCACACAGAGACCCATAGACTCACCACCACACAGAGACCCATAGACTCACCACCACACAGAGACCCATAGACTCACCACCAC